GGGTGCTTGCAGCTGTACATGCTACCGCTGGATCCTTCTTTTCTCTTGTTCACTCCCTCCAACCCCTCATCCCCTCCTTATTTACAAAAGCTCTGCTTCCATTTTTTCCTTCTTTTCTCTTTTCCCATTCTCCTCCCGTCTCTTGTTTCTCTTTCCCATTTGAACATTTTCTTCCTCTCTCACACTGTGTATTACAGTTTTGTCCTCATTTATGCTTTTGTTTTCTCATGCCTGAGAAGCAATGTGATACTTGCATAGGTGTGCCTGACTTACTCCATTTAGGAGTATGATCTACATGCACATCAATTTGCCTAGAAATGGCTCCAATTTATCCTTCTTTATAGCCAAGTATTATTCCACTGTAGAGAAAACTGTATCTTCTTTATCTGTTCATCTGAGGACAGCAGATGTTCCCAATATTCAGCTGTTGCAGAGTGTTCCGCCATGTGGAAAAGTGCGACGTGATGCAGCGTACAGCAGACTCCCCTCATCTTAGGAGCACCCATAGATGGCAAGTGATGAGAGAGGGCAAGGTGTTCAGGTAAGTGGCACCCAAAGGACGCAGGAGTGGAGTCCACTTTCCGTGGCTGCAAAGAACACTGAGGCAGTGACTGACAGAGGAAGGAGGTTTGTTTTGGCTGATGGTCCTAGAGACTAGGAAGTCCTGGAGAATGAGTGTGTCACTGCTTCTGGGAAGTCCCGGGCTGTTTCAAATTGTGGCTGAGTACAGACTGGCAGGCGGGCAGGGTGAAGTCTCACAAGAGGCGCATGTGTGCCTGAGACCTGCGGTGCCGCCCTCAGGAGGCCTTCACCCACCCTCCAAACACCTCACAGCAGGCCTTGCAGCAGGCCCGCCTCCTACAGATGCTTGTAAATTCAACAGCTAATGAATGGGCTGCGAATGGCAGTGATGGGTATGCGACCAGCCCTTCGTCTTTCATCCCACAGGGTGAAGTGTCATGCTATGAGGAAAATGACACAAAGGACAGGTGAGGGGCTTTTCCAAGTTCACCACAAACAGTAGTCCCAACAGACCAGCTGGGGTTCTTTGGCTCCTAATTCGCTGTCCCTCCCTCAGCAGTTTGCGGCTGACTTGACCCATTCCCCGGCCCTGTGCGCTCCGTTCCATGATTTCCTTAAATGTCTGCTCCCTTTTTGGTCAACCACAGATGCTTGGGTACTGCTCGCAAATACGTGGATCTCTGCCCCTCAAAATTTATATTAGGCACACTATCAGTCTTCTGTGTCTGTGGGTTCTGCCTCTCGGGAGGCAACCAACTGCAGATTAAAAGTATTTTTATCTATACCAAATACTTAAAGATTTTTCCTTGTCACCATCCTGTAAACAATATAGACAACTATTTCCACAACACTTACACTGTATTGGATATCGCAGATAATCTACAGAGGACTAAAAGAACATGGGAGGATGTGCTTCGATTATTATATAAATACACTGACATTTTATATAAAGAACGTGAGTATCTCTGGACCCCAGTATCTGAGCAAAATCCTGGACCCGACTCTCCGAGATGCTGACTCTATTAGTCTGCTTTCCAAGAAGCTAACAAATACCTGAGATAGTCCACGTACAAAGAGCGAGGTTTGTTTTAGGCCAACGCTGGAGAAAAGAAGGAAAAAATGGAAACAGAGCTTCTGTAAATAAGGCCTAACGTTTGGGCCTGCAGTGGCTTGCTTCCTGGCTTTGGAGGTGGTGAGGAGACAGTGACAAGGTGCAGGTCACGCTGATAACACGCAGCGAAACTGCTCACCTGGAGCCAGGAGGGAGGGGCCGGAAGCTGCGGGTCCCCCTGTGCCCTTCAAGGCACACTCCCAGGACCTGCAGAGCTCTTGCCAGCCTCCACTTCCCAGTCTCCACCCCCCATTAGCACCCCGCCCCCGTTTTTGCCACATGACTCTTTGGAGGATGTTTAAGATCCATACTAGAGCACCAAGGTAAAAGTGTGTGCGGAGGGGAGCGTAAGAGCTGAAGCAAGCTGCTGTCCAACACGCCAGAATGGTGTCCCACACAGGGCCTCCAGCACAGCGATGTCACATACCTCACTACCGGGACAAGTGCTGCGGGCTACAACACGCGGCCAGGCAAATCGCGTGGTGCTGGGTCATGGCCTACTTGTACTTTAGCTTCCTCCGCTGACCTCCAACAGATTAGAAGCCAGAGTTCAGTAGAATATTTTTTTGCTTTAATGATAATTTTTCTATAGAATGATTTTAAGATTCAAAGCAATAAGCAAGCCCATTTTTTCAGTTGAGTGGATTATAGTGGATTTTTGGTCACAGCCACTTATATCTGACAATGTCCTTGCCTTGGTTTGACATTCATCCCATAAGAACAGGCTTTTATTCAGCATAATTACAGTGAAATTCTTTCTTTTCCCCTCAAAGGCAAGATAGCTCATCAGGCCTGAGTTATTCAAATAGTAATACAAAAATACAATTACGTACGCACTATATATTGGGTAAAATAATCATTGGCACTAAAAATAATCACTGGCCCTGAAATTGTCCACATAGAATAAGAAAAAGTCAAATAAATATACATCATATAATGTTTTTAAAAAAGTATTCCTTTTTTTTTTATCTCTTTGGGATTTGACACGTTAGTTTAAAATTTTGTTGAAAAGCAATGTGCTATATATTTTATGCCGCCTGTAAAACCAAAGTAGAGCCTGTCATCGAGCTGATGGTGGAATTAAGAAGTCAAGCACTTCAGAGGAGAATGGCTTTCTGCACAGCCAGGGTCACCATAGCTACGTCCTTCTACCCCAAGTTAGCCTCACTGAGTTGCTAGTCATGACTACTGGGCAGAGAAGGCACACGGGTGTGGACGGAGGGAGGACCAGGGGCCTGGGTCAGCTTGAGCTTGGACGATGCCAATCTGAATGAGGCTGGAGCTGGCCGCCAGACCCAAGAGACTCAGCCCAGTTCACAATGCTTCCTAGAAGCTGGTAGTGGGGTTGGCTCTGTCCTGTGCCAGTTCCCCCAAATGGTGGGATTAGCAAAATGGACACAGCCAGGCTAAGGCCCTAGAAGACATGCTTTTGTAAGCTTCTTATCTGCCTAGTGCTACTCTGATGGCTTTCCCTAAACAGAGACTACAGCGCTTTCCCTTACAATTTCTAGCTGACCAAGTACTCCTAAGGGTTTGGGGCTTTCCGAGATCAATAGGGCAAGAATGGATTCATTTTTCTCTTTGTGCTTGCAAAAACTGTCACTGAAGTTTCATAAACTGTGGTGAGTGTGAGGGGTGTTCTATTTCTGCTTCTGATCCAGGATGACCCTTCCAGTCTGGTCTTTGACTTTGATCCTCCCTGAACTGTACTTGGTCTCCTGGCAGCCATTGCAATACACGGTCCTGCTGGTACCATCAGGAAATTCCCTCCTCTTGAACTGGGCTGTGTGGATTTCTTTCTGTCCATTGCTGAACACGATGGTTTTGTCGCCATTCCTGGTAGAAGAGAAACACTCTGTGAGACAGGCTGTGCCGTAGCCAGTTTTATGAACATGGAGCAGGTAGGGACGAGTGATGCCAGTGCCCAGGGGGAAGGACACAGCTGTGCAGAGCAAGGACAGGAGCAAGGACAAGTACCATTGTTGAGGGCTCAAGGGCTGAGGACACGCAGGTGGGGCCTAAGGGAGATGAACTGCACCAGCAGCTGGGTCTGTGCACTGGACCTAAGATGACAGCTTGAGGCACGGGTGAGCAGAGATGTGGTAAACACAGAGAGCGCCATGACAGGGCACAGAAAATGCCACCACATGAGAGGAAATATTTTGGCTGGCCACAAGGGAGTTAATGGAGCTCTGAAGTAGAGAAAGACTGAGCCTCCAAGCTACAAAACTGAAGGAACAGGGAGACTAAGGACATCAAGGCAACACCACCAGGGTACTACAGCCAAGTGGATCTGGGCTGGAAAAAAAAAAGGACCTAACATGGCTTCCCAGCCCTCTCAGGCCATCATACAGACAGTGCCGGCCTCGGGTGTCTCCAGCTCACACCAACATCCAGAGCAAACCCCAGCAGCACTCTCTATGGTGTGTCTCATGTATTTGTTCATGAAGGTTCTACGACAGATTTAGGCTCCCAGATCCCAGGCCAAAAACAAATGAGCCTTATGGTGCGATTCGAGCCCAGCCAACCTCACTGAGTCAAAGCTGAGTGTCACTCAACCACAGGGACACATTCCGAGGAGAGCATGGTTAGGTAGCTTTGACACCAACTAAGATGACTGTGATGAAATTAGAGTGTGATCTGGAACAGTAGCCTGTGTGGGCCCTGTTACCAACTGACGCATTATGTCCCTAAGTTAATGTTTAAACCTATATTCTGCATAGAGATTGAAATCATTCACAAGACAAACATTGTAGTGTCAATGGTTTTATTTTCTAGAATAATAATAATAATAATTGTTATTATTATTATTATTATCCATGTTTCTGAGACAGGATCTCACTATGCAGTTCAGGCTAGTCTTTAGCTCATGTTTAGCACAGGCTGGTCTCAAATTCTCACAACAATCCTCTTGCCTCAGCCTCCTAAGTTCTGAGATTACAGGCATGCACCATCATGCCCAGCCAATGGTATTATTTTCTGCTATTATTATTATTTTTTTAAATATTTATTTTATTGAGAAACAAATAGCAATGAGACAGTTTCAAAACTGATGAATAGGACAGTTTCAATAATTAATACATTGTACATTGTTAGCTTCTTAGTGGTTATTCATAGTACCAAATGCAGACAGGAGATCCTGTCCAAACACTATTAGTACAAATCTTTCTTTGCATTGAATATTTTCTGCTATTATTATTTTTTTTTCCAGAACCAGGGAATTGAACTCAAACCCTTGCGCTTGCCAGGGAAGTGCTTATTCTACTGAGCCATCTCCCCAGCCCCTGCTATTATTTTTAAATAAATAGTTTTTTTGGGTACTGGAATTAAATACTTAACCTCACAAAAATATACGTTATGTAAATAAATTATCAAATACACAAATCAAAAGTCAGGAATGACTTGGACTCACGTTGTGTGTTCCAGCACCAACCTTTTCACGCGTATGATTGTCCCATCAGGAAACACAGTCTCCTCACAGCCAGGCTTGAGCCTGGTCACTGTCCCATCTGGAAAAACAGTTTCTTTGGAGCCGTCAGGGTAGAATTTTTCTGTAGAATATATTTTTAAATGCATCTTACACTGAAAGTGTTTACAAACCACATTCTATCTCAATGACCTACCTAGGTGAGATTTCTAGAAAGAGAATATTGCTTGCTCATGTGAGTCCATAGATTTAAATTGCCACTTGCACTATCAAATCCCCATGCTGACTTGAGTTTTAGACGAATTAATAATACTTTAGCAAAAGTACAGACAGCTTCCCACTTACAATGATTTGAGGTATGATTTTTCAGCTTTATGATTATAGAAAAGTGATATGCATCCAGTAGAAACCACTACAGCTTAGATCTGGATGCCTCCTCAGAGCCTCCTATGACCATACATGGGCTCTCTAAAGGTTCCTGATTAGAGGGTGGGTGATGTAAACATTGTATAATGCTTTGAGCAAAGGTGCGTGATTAGTCCACTGATTGCTTAAGTGTAGTTCTGGATATGGATAGTGGGAAGGTCCACTTGGGGTAGGGGCGGCACCAGCCAAAAGGCGGGCAGCTTGGAAGGGATAAGGAGGAGAGGCTTCTGCCTCACTGCATGCTGCTGCTTCTGCTGCTGATTGCTGCATTGCTGTCTTCTGCCTGCTCGCCATGAACCACTTCTCCTTTTGTCTTGAAACTAGACAACAATGCAGTGAAGCCTCCACAAACTATGAGCTATAGTAAACCTTTCCTCCTGTATGGTATTTTGTCTCAGTCACACGAAACATAATGAAACACATACAGTCTTGAAACAGAAACTGCAAATTTTGAGTTTGGGATTTTCCCATGCTAGTGACGTGCAGCACTGCTTTCTCCCAGTGGCCATAAGCACAGCCCTCAGGGACCAGGCCATGGCCAGGGAGGACACCGTATACATTACAATGCACTGTGACATTGCTGTGTTTAGTGTCTTAAGTGTATTTCATGTACTTTCTGCTTATAGTATTTTCAACTGACAATGGACTTACTGTGATGGAATGCCATCAAATGTCAGAAAGAATTTATCTATCCCAAATATTCTATGGAACATACTTGTGCCATGAAAATTATTTTTTATTTACTTTGATATTCAAGCACAAATGAGAGTCTGACTCACTATTTGCTAAATCAAGCAATCTAAGTTCAAGGACTTAAATATTATTAGAAAGTAATCAGAAAGAACACCTGTATAAACAATGGCATCTCCTTGCTGCAACCTTCTGTTCTAGCCAGGACTTAAGTAACACACACAGATTTCTTTGCACTGCCATAAGTTATCTGTCTAACTTGCTCAAATATATTTCATGGCGATTCACTCTACTATGGCCTGAATGTCGATGTCTCCCCAAGGATTATGTGTTGAAGCTTCACCCCCAAAGCAGTGGTTCCAGGAGATGCTGCTTTTGAGAGGTAGTTGGGTCTTGAGGGAAGCACCTTCATAAAAGGAACTAGTGGTCTCATTCCAGAGAGCTCCACAGCCTGCCATGACGGAAAGCACCACCAATGTATCCTCACTGGATCCAGGCCTCAGAGCTGTGCAGAACGAGCTCCCTTTGTTTGCAACTGTCTGGTTTGTGGTGATAGTAGGCTGAATGAACTAAGACTCATGCCACAAAGGACTAATATTCCAGACTTATCTTGTGCCCCACTCTGTCAATGTTATTAATATTTTAATATTTTGCTTTAAGAAAACTAATAACAATGTTGATCTTCTCCACACTTTACTCAAATAAACTCCCAGTCTAAGATATTTCTATTGCTTCTCTTTGCTTTCTCACTCACTCCCTAAATCCCACACTTGAGGTCCAAGTACTTCGCTAGGCTCACAGGTGGCAACTTCCAACATCTGAATGCTTTTGACCCTCGCTGTTGAAAACATGTTCATTTACTTCTTATATTGACTTGTTTTGTCAACTGTTAGCAGTTGCCAGCAGACAAGTGGCAGAAAAACAAAAGTGAAGAATCTGACAACTGGGGGAAAATTCTGCCTCTTAAAATAACAGCACAAACTGCAAAGATTGTTTCCTAAGTGAAGTTCTTAGTGGAATGCTCTGGAGAAGTTGAGGCTCATCACTGGTCAATATTTTGAGACTCACTGACTGCCTGGCACATAGTCAATATAAAATATGTCTTTACCAGCTGGTATGAATTTTTCTTTTTCTTTTTTTGGTGGTACCAGGGATTGAACTCAAGACCTTGCTCTTGCCAGGCAAGCACTTATTCCACTGAGCTATCTTCACAGCCCTCCTTTTTGTATGAATTTTCTGAACATTCACATAACAGAAATCATGCCTATAAAATGGCAATAGGGCAACCATGAGGCTCTCATTTGATTTTGTCTCTGAAGCATTAGTCATAGATAGAAGTATAGAATCATTAAAGACAATGCAAATATCCAAGAACAATGACAGCACTTGGATTTCTGGCTATAAAACCAAGTGGTACTTGGAGACCTTCTACATGGACTGGCCGGGGTTCAAAGAAAACACTTATCTATAAAGTACTTTTCTTTTGCACCAGAGCTGAGTGAACACCAATCATCCAGCAAGGCATTTATCAACCAGCAAGTGTAATTGTTTGCTCTGAACTATTTGCTGAGGGGTCACTGAGGAAAGCAATTACTCTTGTCCTCCTTGGTGCTCACTGCCTAATCCCACACCCAGTGGCAGATTGTGAGGATGGTCATCTGAGCACTACACACAATAACCCCGATTGAAAAACTGGGACAAAGACAAGAGGTCTGAAGAGAAGAGTGCAGGACAGCCTGGGACCCGGCGGCAGTGCCGGCCCAGCCTGTGGCTCTTCATGCTTGGGATGATGGCTTGCACGTGACACATTGGGACTATGTGAGGCACAGCAGTGCTCTAGCCCTGGCCTGTGGTCTGCACATCCATGATGTCGTAGTTAGTGGGGCTTGGCGGTATGCCAAAGGGATTTTACAAACTTTCCCACTATAACATACCTAGTAGTGCCAAGGAGAAAGATGCAAAAACCTTTTCAAATCAGTATTTAATAGCAGGGAAAGGGCCTCAAACCACAGCGGTTTTTGGAAGACACAGTAGGCCCCACTGCTGCCTGCGTCCTGTGCTCATCTGCTAATCCCAGTAGCCCAGAGACACAGGCTACAGAAGCCTTCTGGGACAGGGTACAAGGGCTTCACCTTGAGAAGCTGAGCTGGGTCCCTGCTTCACGATGACACACTCGAGGCACGGGTCACTCGGAGGGGTGAACTGGAAGGCACCTACTGTTCTCCAGTGGAGCTTACCAGGGAGAGTGTGTGCTGCCGTGCTCTCCCCGAGGAGCCAGTGGCTACAACTGCCTGCGGAGTGGGCTCGGCCCTGCAGCCCCACTGCCTGCAGGCCTAGGAGCAGCACAGTGTGGCTGCAAATGCAGGAGCAGCACAGAGCTCCAGGACAGACACCCCGACTGGGCCCGCAGGACCCTGCCAAGCATGGCCCGAAAGGCACGGAGCAGCAGCATAAGGAGGCCTGGGCAGAGCCAATGGTGCTCGCTCCAAGCACGGAATCACCAGAAGCAGACAAAGAGAACATGCACAAAAAATAAGGACTAATGGAGTAAGCTGGAAACAAGAGCAGACGGCGCCCCCCAGAAGACCAAGGAGAGCTGATAGAGACTCCGCTCTGCAGTGAAGAGTGTGATCCTTCAAATCTAGCTTAAAGGGTGTATTAAATAGCATGTAATGCCCCACTGGAGAGAAAATTAATAACCTAGAAGATTACTTAAAGAACCTAACAAGAAAGTAAAAAAGATAAGGAGGAAATATGTTTAGGACCGAGGAGACTAGAATAAAATGATATAATATACCTGCAATAGGAGATTTAAGAAGAGAAAAAAAGAGGACAGATGACATTAATAAAAAATAATATCTGAGAATTTTGTTGGACTTAAGATAGTTTTGGCTAGCAGATAAAATCTAGGACGTGCAGTTAAATTTGAATTTCAGAGAAGCTATAGATAATTTTTAGTATAAGTATGTCCCATGTATTACATGGATCATACAATAAAATCATTTGTTTGCTATCTAAAATTGAGAGATTGGGCATGGTGGCCTGCGCCTGTAATCCCAGCACTTGGGAGGCTGTAAACAGGAGAATCACTAGGAGTCTGATCTATGTAGTGAGATCCTGCAGACCCTGTAGACCTGGCCCTAAAATACAGAAAAAAAATTGAAATTTAGCTGAGCATCCATACTTTTATTTGCTAATTCTGGCAACCCTAAGTCATGTGAGATATAAGTCGCCAGACCCAAAATACATGACATAGCCCCAGTGCAACAAACAAAATTAAGTCCACGGCCATGGACATCACAAGATGACTGGAGGCAGTTCTTCAAAGCACTGAGGAAATAGGAAAATCGCCGTCAAAGGGAGAGATTAGGCTGCTTCCAGTGATCCAACAGACGCTGTAAGGCTGTGGAACAGTCTTTCACATGCTAGAGGAAGCTCCTATGAGCCCTGGCTCCAAGGGCTGTAGGGAATACCCCTCTGAACAAAAGTCACCTTCCTTGCTGTGGCCTCCACGCTCCACTACCTATACTTGGCCTTGTCTGTGGTCCCCTCCTGCCACGATGCCCTCCTTGCTTCTCCAAGACACTCCGTGATCCGCTTTCTTCACAATGTCCTCCCCAGTATCCACAGAGCTCCCTCCCTTCATCCCTGCACTCCCACCCCCTTGAAGGCCACCTCTTCAGGAAGGCCTCTGTGACCCTCCGTGGACAGTGGGCAGAAATAACGAGAAACAGAACAAAGACCCCCCGCTTTCGGCACACTAACCGGGGGAATCGGAGTGACAAGCAAGAATAATGAGCCCGAAAGTCTGTATAAACTTTAAAAAAATACTTAAAACTATACAGGAGTAATTGTAACTCATGTCAAGGAGAAAACTCAACTTAGAATTAAATCTGGCAGAAACAAGCACAACAGAGTGAAAGATGGGCAGGGATGCAGTTCATCTCAAGAGACTCATGGGGCTTCTGGGGGTGCTGCGCACCTTGGTGCACGAATGTCCTAACTGTC